GACCCAGCACAGAGCCCCACCAGGTATGGCACTGCCTGCCAGGGTGCTGGGCTCTTGAGCCTCTTCCCACTGGAGTGAGGTTGGGAGAGAAGCTGTGGACAGAAGCTGGGCCAGCCAAGCCTCCTTCCTCATGTGGATGAGGGGCCACTAGATCCAGAGTCCTTTTCTTCACCAGAGAACACTTTGGCCTGCTCACCCCAGCAGTCTACACACTTTTCCTCTGCTGTCGAGCCCAGATGCAAGCACCAGAGCTAGCTAAGGTCAGCCTCGGGTCTCCCGTGTGTACTCTGTGGTGGAGGACCCTGGGTCTCCTCCAGGCCAGATGTGCCTGGCCCTGAAGCATTAGGGCCATTCTGTTCCCTCGAATGGATAGCCGGGCTCCTGCCGGGACTCCAGAGGCTTTCTGGATCTAGTTAGGATCTTTTCCCCGTCATAGGGGCAAGCACTCTCTGAGCTCTGAAAACCCCAGGACAGGGGTTGGGTTCTTGCCTGGCTGAGCCTGGAAGGCTGGGATAGAACCATGATGGACTCTTGTGACCTCAAACTGTTGCTCTTCTTGTCCCTACCTGCCCCACCCTGGCTGGGGGACTCCCGGGATGCAGCAATGTCAGCTTAGTCTTCTGGGTATTTTCAGTTAAGAGTCTCACCAAGTAGATCAGGCTGACTTCAAACTCTTGGAAGTCCTGCTTCAGCCTCCTGAGTCTTGGGATTATCTGTGGGCATCGTGATGCCCAGTGTCCACTTTATGGTCTTCACTTCAGGCCCTCAGCCCGCAGCAGTCACACCAGGCCTTTGACAGCTCCCTGTGTTGCCCACCCTGCAGCCCCTTGGCCTCCTCCAGCCCCAGCCTTTCATCCGCATCTCCCACACCCACCTCCCCTCCTGCTCCCTGAGCATCCACACCACAGCCACAAACCTGGCTGGTGGGGTCCTGAGCCAGCCCCTCTCCTGGCACCTGACCTCAGCAGGCTCCCTGCCCCATCCCCAAAAGTGATTCTCATCACCTTCCACCCCCTCCTTCTCCCCTGCCCTCTGCCAGCCCTACAGTGGTACCTCTAGTCTCAGCTGTGTGGAAGGCTGAGGCAGAAGAGGTGCTTGGGTCAGGAGTCTGAGTCCAGGCCAGGCTAGACAACATATCAGACCCCATGTTACACACACACACACACACACACACACACACACACACACGAGATGATTCTCAGACTGTACTTGATTAAGAAATTTTAGCCACCCTTGGTGGCATGCATCTGTCATCTTAGCATTCTGGGGGGCTAAATCAGAAGGATCACAAGTTTGAGCCACGACTGGGCAAATTAGGAATTTAGCAAGATCCTGTTTCCAAATACAAGGAAGAAAACAGGTTGGGGATGTATCTCAGTGCAAAGCCCTGGAGTGGTACTGGGAAGAAGAAAGAAAGAAAGAAGAAAGAAAAAGAAAGAAAGAAAGAAAGAAAGAAAGAAAGAAAGAAAGGAAGAAAGAAAGGAAGGAAGAAAGAAAGGAAGTAGTCTTGCAGCTTCTCAGTGTATTTTACCTTGCAAATGTGGGAGGAAGATGTGAGTTTTAACAAAGGAAGCTCACAGGTATTTATACCTTGCAGAGAACAGATGGGAATTTAAGTCATATTGCCATAGCAACGCATTATTATGGAGGACGAGCGATCAGAGTCACAGCTCTGGAGCTAAAGAGCCCTTTCACAGAATAAAGCAGCATCTCTTCAATCTGATGATCTGACAGGGCTCATTAGGAACAGCATTTGCCAGGGCAGTTTTAGGGTGCAGGAAAGAATCTGCTTTCCTTTCTGCAGAACAAGAAAGGACTTATTTTTCTGTCTTATCCCACTGCTATTTTCATTTTTTCTTTCTCACTGCCAATTAGAGGGACCCAGCATTTTCAAGGCAGCATCAGAGAAGCAGATGCTGGTCCAGGTTGTGGAGCTGCTCTATAGCATGGGAGAGGCCTGGTATGATCTCCAGCACCACAAAGAAGAAAGAAAGAAAGAGAGAAAGAAAGAAAGAAAGAAAGAAAGAAAGAAAGAAAGAAAGAAAGAAAGAAAGAAAGAAAGAAAGAAAGAAAACCAAAAAAAAAAAAAAAAAAAAAAAAAAAAAACGATGTTGGGCTATGTTGCAAATGCTTATAATGCCCGGGACTCAGGAGGTTGAGGCAGGACAGTGATCTAAAGTCAAGGTCAGGGGCTGGTGAGATGG